GGGTTTGGAAGGTTGCAAAGACCCAAGACGAAGAAGAAGAAAAACAGGCATTGGAAGAATATCCGAAGGACAGTGAAGAAGATGCAATGAAACTATTATACCAGGAAGGTTTATGCGTACTGGAGAGACCAAACTGGCCTACAAGAAAGACCAAATGAAGAACCAAAAAGAGAAACGGGAAGACAAAATATTATATGGCTACTACATTAAAATAAAACAAAAACTAGCAGGCAAAGCAGATAATAACAAGACCTGGCAATGGCTAAGAGCAGAAAAATTAAAGAAAGAGACAGAGGGGGCTAATTCTGGCTGCATAAGACCAAACTTTTAGAACAAATGCATACAAAGCTAGAATTCAGAAGACAGCAACAGATGCAAAGAAGCTAAAGAAAAGTGCATCACCTGGTTAGCCGTAGCAAGAAGATCGCACAGATTGATTACAAACAGTGGCATGATAAAAGTATAAACAAATGGTGCATTGGAAAAGCTTCAAGAAAAACCACTTGTCTGCAAGCAAGAACTGATGGGACCACAACCTAGACAAAGAAATACAAAATAAAGCTAAAATGCTCTGGGTCTTTAGAATTCAAACAGACAAGCGCCAGCAATGCAACATCCCAGATTTAACAATTGTCAATAAGAAAGATAAAAAAATAAAAAAAATCTAGGAAGCCAGTTTTTATTTTGGCAGTGTTTTGCTGAGAAAATCATAATAGCATGCTAAAAAGCCACATCATGGCCTTAGAGCTGAATGCATTCTACATAAGGACAGATGAAGGGCCAATGAAGACCTGTGTTCCGGCATTACACAGTAGCCAATTGGATGCATTCTAGGGAGATTACGCGGTATTTCAGAAAAGGTGGGTCCTCCTAATACAAGTAGTACCATTTTTTTAGCCATCACTTGAAGTTACAACAGCCCTACAATGGTTGCTTGGCAACCAGCATGTATATACAATGATTGCAGCATCCCAAGGATATTTGATTGCCATTTGCAACCTTCCCTGCCAACTTCCAACACTCAAAGTCAATGGTGGGAACCTGAATGAACAACTACACGATGCATTTAACAATGATATAATTCACTTTAACAACTATGGCAAAAAAATCATAACTTTGTTAACTCACTTAATAACCATTTTTCTGGTCCCAACTGTGGTTGTGTAAGAGTCGTGGTGGCTCTGCCCAAAGCCTAGAATTTGATTCTCACAGGCTCAAGGTTGACTCAACCTTCCACCGTTCCAAGGTGGGTAAAATGAGGACCCAGACTGTTGAGGGCAATAGGCTGATTCTGTAAACCACTTAGAGAAGGCTGTAAAGCACTGTGAAGCGGTATATACCAGTAAGTATAAGTACTATTGCTATTGTAAGTCAAGGACTGTGTATTTATACTCACAAGAGGTAGAAAATGTTATCTGAGGAAGACTCCCAGTGTATTGGGGATTACTCCCACCTATTGTCCCACTGCCAATAGAAGGCTTCTCTGAATGAAACATGGAAGCAGGCAATTTTTAGCAACAATCTTCTCCATATAGCTCAGGATGTTCTCTCTTTTGGAGAGTTAAGATTATTTCGGAAGAAAGGAGGATATGGAAGATAAAGGGCTTTGTGGGGGCTGATTGAGTATACTCTAGTGTGCTTTGAATGGCAAGAGTCTTGCGTAAGCAGAAAAACCAGGCAGAGGATGTCACGTTCTTGGTATCTGCAGTCTACTTTTGGCAAAAGTCAAAGAAAAACATACCATGTGTTTTGTGGTTTCTATTTCTTTTATCTCCTAATGGGAGTTAGGGAGCCATGCTACAATTTTAGCCGTGCTGCAAGTATAAGCAACATTGTCCAATCCTGTCTTAGCACCATCCAACAAAAGCAACTTAATAATGTGGAAAATCACCAAATCATAAGGCTCACAGATGTTCAGAGGCCTGTGAACTTAAACAGCAGACAAATAATTAGAGCGGATGACCTGAACATAACAGAAATAAATGGAGAAAACAAAATCTTCCGCATTTAAGAATAAATTGTGTGCAGTGTTCTGACAGATACATACTTTGGCGCAGCCTTCTTCCACTTGGCCCCTTTTAGCTGCACTGGTACAGGGATAGAGGGATGTGCTAAGGCTCAAACTTTTACTCTCCCCTCCATCTCCTGAAAAAAATAAAAATAAATACAATAAGGTAAGGATGATATGTGGTTCTACCTCCTGATTTTATTGGCTTCTCATATTAGGAAGTGGTCTGTAAATGCAGTTTAAAGATTATGACTAGAATCTAGAGTTAAGAGATGAATTACCACTGAAGTTCTGTTTGTTTTGTCTGAAACCAATTTCCCCTTTTGAAAAAAAAACACCTCTGTTTCTTTGGCAGAGGGAATCTGATTCTACAGCAGATGGATTTTCAAGCTGCAGGCAGTTACATCTTCCATACTGATGCCAGACGTTTTAGATGCCAGAGTCTTACAAGTCAGGTGCCATATAGGTTTGATCAATCAATAAAATAAAACCCCAAGCGTGAATATGCAGCATTACTAGTGCCTTCTTGGTATTTGCTCAGTGACTAGCAATAGGTACTAGCACTTAGACTTAGATACTGCTTTACAGTGCTTTACAGCTCTTCTCTAAGCTGTTTACAGAGTCAGCATCATGCTCCCAACAATCTGGGTCCCCATTTTACCAACCTCAGAAGGATGGAAAGCTGAATCAACTTTGAGCCGGTGAGATTTGAACTGCTGGCAGCTGGCAGTCAGCAGAAGTAGCCTGCAGTACTGCATTCTAATTACTGAGCCACCACGGCTCTTATATTTTAACGCTGTTAGTCTGCCTTATTGCTTTAATACTTCTTTCATTTATCTGAAAGTGTCCAGATATATCAATTACAGCTCTCATACTATCAAGCGTGGTGTTTGGGTGTGAATGGGAGTTTAGTTCAAAACATATTGAATGAATTTGTCCAGGCAAGGTGGAGAAAGAACATTGAAAAACCATGAATTAGCAGAGAATATCATTGCAATTATGGAGGCTACATTTCTAATGAATTAAACCCTAATTAATAGCCGCCCAGCATGAACCATTGATCCAATTGGCTGAGGATGCTAGGACAAATTATAAACTTTACACATCTGGAGAGCTGCGGGCTGGAGGTTATTGCCATAAACAATGTTTCTTTTATAAAAAGGCAATGCATTAAGTTGACAGACGCGTTTCCACGGCAGGATACATCCAAAAAGATTTCTGGAAGAAATTGGAAATTTCCATTTTCTCTTCTGTCCTTTCATAGCATCCTTCCTTATGAAAGATGTACAGTATTGATTTAATATTTTGATACAGCCACAAGACTTAATGATAATTTAATTTTTCTTAATCAGTTTGTGGCTAGTTTAATGATGCATTGCAGGCATTGTTGAATTAATGGACAAGTGAGTTAAGAACATTTTGCATATATTTTTTTCATGTTTTTTTTTTTGCTCCTCCCCCTAGTTAACAAGAATAGCTCTAGTCACTCTTTTATGAATTGCTATTAAAGTTGGAGCTGAGGTACGCATATTCAGTGCCCAAAGATTGTAGATGGGGCTTCAGGCTCATTCATGAAATAGATATTTAAAGATTATGTATCCTTTGTTCTTGGTCTTTCAGTGTATGAAAATATTGATCTAAAGCATTTTTAGGGATGATCCTTAAAGAAGAGGATATTGTACGTTGAATAGCAGTAGTAACAACAAATTTAGATTAATGTCTTTATTTTAACATTGTGGGCAGTTCTTGGGTTCTCTAGTCCAGCTTTTCACTATCACGTATGTCATGGCAATCATAAAATACAGACAGTCCTCGACTTATGACCACAATGAAGCCCAATGTTTTGTTGTTAAGTGAGACATTTGTTAAATGAGTCTTGCCCCATTTTATGACCTTTCTTGCTACAGTTGTTAAGTGAATCACTGCAGTTGATAAGTTAGTAACTTGTTTGTTAAATGAATCTGGCTTCCCCCTTGACTTGGCTTGTCAGAAGGTCGCAAAAGGCGATCAAATGATCCCGGGATATGAACCAGTTGCCAAGCATCTGAACTTTGATCACATGATCATGGGGAGGTTATGAAGGTTGTAACTATAAAAAGAGGTCATGTCACATTTTTCAGTGGTGGTGTAACTTTGAACCAGGGGTGAAATTCAGAAGGTTCTGACAGGTTCTGGAGAACCAGTAGCGAAAATTTTGAGTAGTTTGGAGAACCGGCAAATACCACCTCTGGCTGGCCCCAGAGTGGGGTGGGAATGGAGATTTTGCAGTATCCTTCCCCTGCCACGCCCACCAAGCCACGCGCACAGAACTGGTAGTAAAAAATTTCAAATTTTACCACTGCTTTGAACAGTCACTAAACTCTCATAAGTAGAAGACTACCTGTATTATGATGTTTTATGACCATTACGTGAATGCCAGAGTCATTAAATTAACCAATAGACACGGTTTTGCCAAAGACAGAAGTGTCAGTTTTGGCAAAAGTGTTGTAAACGTGATTACGTGATTTCAGGATGTTGCAAACGGCTATAAATGCAGGACCACCAAAGGAGGGTGACTTTTGAAACTTTGGATCCAGGTCGTGTGTCCCCTTTTTTGGCTTGGTTGTAACTCTGAACAGCTGCTAAACAACTGGTCATAAATTGAGGACTACCAGTAGGGCAAATTCTTTTTATCATAGGAAGTTGGACTTGGGCTCCTGAGAGAAAACTCCCCATCCCATCTGATTTATTTTTTTTAAAAAAGCAAGAGTAATCTCAGTTCCACTTACTAATGATACAGTCTTCCTTATTCCATGATATTAAGTTCCAGAATTTACAGTATTTATATTATATTGGGGATCCTGAGAGTTTCAAGCCAGCTCTTCCAAAGATACCAAATTGGGGAAGTCTTTTTTTAATGGATGAAAAATTAAGCATTTTGTTGTGGCTGTGTTGAATAATCCAGTATTAAAAAATACTAACACTTGTTTGCATATTTAACAATTCATGCCAGATTTCCCTATGGATTCTAATAATGGGAACTGTAGAGGCACCAATGCTGGTGAGTACATTTTTATCTAAACTTTTTACTCTTGTTGTTTTATTGACCTCAGGCCTCAACTGAATAGAAGCAACCTAATAGTGTCAGGATGTTTTGTATGGTACAATATATATTCTTGTAGTAACAAGTTCCTTCTCACTTACCTATTACTCCCAGTTCTGTAGCATGGAGGAAAGTGATAAATTGGATAAAACAATGGCAGAGTAGAAACATATATTTAGATAAGATTCTGTTCTGTGGTAACTGTTCAACTGATATTGTATCCAAGAAGATTGTTAATTTTGCAAATACTGTTTCCCTTTGACATTTTTTTTTAAAATAAAGGTTGATCCTGGCTTTTTATATGCTTTATGTCTTGAATCCATATAATTCTATATATGGCTTGTTCTCTCCATTATTTTACAAAAGAAAAAAGTGAAATGAATTAAAGAAGCTATTAAAGTTTCGTAGAGGAAAAAAATGGTTTTCTGTTGGTTTTAAGAAATTCAAATCTTTAAAATAAGACTTTCCTGGATTATCGATCACTGAATCCAGTCGGTAAATCTGTTATATACATAAAGAACATAATTTTTAACTCCCAGGAGTGTTCACCAGAGTAGAAACTGGTAATAGAAATTAAATCTATAGCAAAAGCTACTTAGACTTATATACCGCTTTACAAGTGCTTTTACAGCCCTCTCTAAGCGGTTTACAGAGTCATCATATTGCCCCCAACAATCTGGGTCTTCATTTTACCCACCTCAGAAGGCTGGAAAGCTGAGTCAACCTTGCCCCTGGTGAGAACTGCCAAACTGCTGTCAGCTGATCATTAGCAGAAGTAGCCTGAAGTACAGCACTGTAATCACTGCGCTCATCAAATATATACTCAGCAATGGACTGCTGGGGGTTCTCAGGGGTTTGGGAGAACCTCTAGCTAAGATTCTGTGCAGTTCGGAGAACCCCCCCCAAATTTCACTCCTGGCTGACACTACCCCCCCTGCCCCACCCCTCAGAGGAGTCCCCAAACAGCTTGCTTTGGATGCAGGTAAGTGCAGGCAGGTAGGGAGGCTTGGGGAGGGCGAAAAATAGGCTTACTGGAAATTTGGGCCTCCAGAGGATCTCCAGAACCTGGGGAGGCAGTTTTTGCCTTCTCAGAGCCTTGAAGAAAACCTCCAGAGTCCGGGGAAGGAAAAAATGCCCCCCCTGCTGTGGTGCAGAAGGCTGACCAGGCCATGCCCACCATGGCCACGCCCATCCAGCAACCGGGCAGAGAACCCCTTGCTGAAATTTTTGAAGCCCATCCCTGTATATATCTACAAACATGGCTTATATTTATGCAGTAATTCCTTAAAGTTAATCCTTGGTTTCCCCCTATAATGGACATGAATGCACGTATGAATGTGCCATGTTCTGCAATTATTACTCCCAATCATCCTCTGACCTCCTCCTTGACCTCCCTGTAATTTATTTTCCAAGTCCCATGGTTCCCTGCTAATGGGAAGTGCCAGAGGCAAGTTCTGTAGCACAGAATTGTGAAGGGTTGCAACCAAAGGCCATGCTTGTTGGGAATTCTGGGAGTTATAATCCCAACACATTGGGAAGGAGCCAGGTTGTATCAGGCTATTGTAAGAATTACAGCAGGAACTGGATTTCATGTGAAACAGTTCACATTCCCTAAAATAACATGGAAATCTTCAGCATTATCATTTTTTATGTATCTTCAATACTCTATTATGATAAGGGACACTGTGGGATGTTGTTCAAAGAGAAGTCTTGGACCTGAATTATTCTAACAGACATTGCAAATGTCCCACAGTGTATTTTTTGCTGGTGAATAATGTCTTTAGGCATTATCTAATCAAGTAATCCCTGACAAAGACAACTGGCAAGTTCTTTTGTGTAAATAATTACTCGTTCTTTCTGGACTGGAAATAACATATTTTATCCTTTTCGCAAAATGTCTGTTTGTGTTTCAAGAAACTTCTCCCAGCTTTTTTATGTTAAAATATAATGCTTTGCTGTAGTTTGTAGGTTATTGCATTCTAAAAGAAAGAAACTATGCCGATAAAAAAATAATATTCTTAAAATTACAATGTCTGTTGTTTCTCGAGCTCTAGCGCCTTAAATCTTAAATAGGGCAACTGGTTTTCCCTTCCTGTTCCTTATCCCTCTCACCTGTCAATCCCTAGGATGTTTAGGACTCATCTTTTCCATCAAAGCTTTAGACAACTTCATTTTGGGAGATTTAGGCATGAATTTTTTTTTTTAAAAAAAAACAAGATATGGCTGAGATGTCACAGCCAGTTTGGAAGAATTTCCTACACACTTATATTGGATTCTTTTT